ACTTCCACAGAGAGCAAATTGGTCAAGCAATGGCTATGACTCATCCACATGGCTGACACTGACAACGGATCTACAAACAGCGCTCCAGGATAAATCCTGAGGGGATTTGACTGACCTTCTCAGATACAGAAGTTCCATTTCTTGTTATATAGGTCTTGCTTTATCTTGGTCTTAACCACCCACCAGAAAAGTATACAAACGAAGTATTAAAAAGTAAAGCCATATTAATATGCTAAGCTGTAAAAGGCTCAAGTCAACATCTTCTGACATTGCCAGGCCTACGGAAAACTCACTACTATTATGAACTACTGGACTATATTGGAATATTTTGCTGAATTCACGCACCTACAATATTTAAATGATAATGAAAAAAAAGGATAATGGAATACCCTTCTCTGACAAAACTAAGCAAAAAAGAAGATCAAATGAAAGATTATTTTGTATCTGTATATTCAAAATAGTTAGGATAGGTATTCAGCTACTTTCTCTTAATTCAATGAATAGAAAGATTTGTTTTAATAGTTTTTGTGAACAGGATATCATGTCTGCATCTTGTATAATGAATAACCACTAAGACAACAATATGCAATATATTAATTATTGAAACTGTCCTACTAATAGGTTTTGAAACTGTCTCATTGCTATTTTTCTCAATAAAATTATTTTTAAAAATAAAGTTAATAAGAAATAAAAAAAAGAAGGCTGGGTTGAAGTGGTACAACCTCAGGACAGCCAGGTTGGCTTCCACATCATGGGCATTCTCCTTGTCCTCTGTCTCCACATAGCATTCCAAGGTGGCCAGGTTCTCAGGATTGTACCTGTCGATACCCTTAAGCAACTTGCCCAAGTTCGCTCTCATCTACTCAAGCATAGCCATGACTACTGCCTCCTTCCAAGACCAGTGCTGCGGGGAGCTCCAGCCTGGCGCCTGGTCCTTGGGGACTGGAAGAAGGATCCAAATTTTATTTTATTTTACAAAATTTCTGTCATGGTAATGAGAGTGAAGTGCTTTTGTGGCTCTCCAACATAATCATCACATAGGCCACATGTTCCTTCAAATCCAGACACCAGAACTCCAGGTAGTTCTAGGTCTCCTGAAGCCCACCCATAGTCAAACAAGAGTCCAGGACTATGGCACATACACTTCTGTTATGTAGAGATCACTTACATCTCAAGATTAGAATTTGCCTATATGCTGGATAAGTTTCTATAAATCCTGAAAGGCAACAGGTCTAGAGCCCTGATTGTCATTATCTCTTCACACCCACTATACTGTGTCTGGTTCTTTTTCTGTGTTTGGCCTGACATATAGGCAGCTTCTGAGATAAACTCCTGGCTATCATGACAATGAAAGAATGTTATCCCATAGGAAAATCATCTTTTACATGGAAATTTTATCTCCTGCTTTTAAGAACAAAATAATGGCCCAGGAACTTTTTGTACCTGTTCTGTTTTTAAGTACCTTTAATTCAAAATGGCATATATTCTGGAGCAGCATTTGGGGGGTAAGATATTTTAACTCCTTCACAGCAGTTAAATAATAAAACTGGGCCTTATTTAATATGAAAATTAAAAAATTATAATACCTATCATATGAATTATAGATTTATGTTCTTTGTTCCTGCTTAAAAGGGAGATCTTAAAAACATTTCCATCCTTCTGCAACGAAAACTTGATCCTTTCCAAGTACTGAGGTTAGCAAATGTGTTTTACCTTAGGGTTTCTGGAATTTGTTAGGAAAAATAGTCAAAGAATGTTTAAAATCTACTCAAAGTTTAGATTATAATTGGTTAGAATATAAACAAACTTGTGTTTCTTTTTCAACTTTGACTAAAAGATTAAAATAGCTGTGTTCAAGGTGAAGATAATTAATTTTATGGGAGTTAGTTCAATCCCT